TGATCGGTTTGTTAACGCATGAATAATTCGTCACGGATAGGCTTTCATTCATGTGTTGATTAGATTGACATCGTTGTGGTGGTTGTTGGGTGAGAGGTTCGCGGGATGATAGTGATGCGTAAAATTGAGGTTGTTTCATTTGATTGCAGGCGATTGATTCGCCTTTAAGCGAACGACGGTTCTTGTCGCATCATCATTGTTGTTTATGTGTTGTTCGATGTCTGTTTGATAAAATGAGTTTTTGAGTTTGTTCACCTCAATGGCACAGCAAGTGATTGATGACTGGCTACTGGAAGAACGAACAAAACACGAATTTAATCACCAACACCATCTCGATCTCTCAACTTAAGATTAAACACTGACTGAAAATATAATGCATGATGATGATGATGATCATCATCATAGCTTCTCCGATTTTGAGCGCTCAGTGGGCCATAGGGTTTGCAAAATCCAGAAGTTTTTTTCACTCCCGGCATCGGGATTTAATCCCGGGGTCAGTTTTCGATTCCGGGATTATCCCAGGATCATAACTGATCAAAAAAGAGTTTATTCAACAAAATATTCAACAAATACAACATAAACAACGAATTATCCGAATGCTCAGGCTCACAACATGGTATTGGCACGCCACTGGTAACAATTAATACTCGTATAACTCAAGTCAATAAATTATTCAGCGAATTATTCAGTGACATGAAGCACACAATTCAGTGCAGTTATTCAGCGATATTCAACAATTATTATTCAACATATAATCCAGTGCTGTTTGAAATAAGCTCTGACAAGGGAAGGTTACGAACTTACCCCAACGTTTCGGGATATCATATTGTAGGGCTCATATAGCTGATTATGAACATGCAATAATTTTTTTGCGGCGGACAAAGAGGACGCGAGATATGGCCNGTTTATTTGCGTTCCCAGTTTTGAACAAAAAAAAGGAAAACGTTGAGAAGGCGCGCTCGCTTTCGACACTCGTTGCTGGGATCATTTCGATAGACTTGTACAATTTTTTCACATTCGATGCCATTTCCTTTGTCTCTTCGTACAAATGCGTTCCAGAGATTATTCTGCTCTTCACGTGATCGCTTCTTTTACAGCTTACGGAACTTCATACCGTTCGGGAGTTTCAGGATTCATCATCTATTCTATTTTCGATTTCGAGTGAAACTTTCCTCTGCAAACGGGAATCGAACCCGTGACGTACCAATTACTGGTTCGGGATCGCGTACAGATCAATTCGCTCTGACTGTAGCGTTTGACGCTCATCAGATCAGTTTCGCACTATGTGCACTGAAGAACTGATTACGATCTTAACACACCACTCGGCGGAGGCTGAAAAGTCTCCGAGGTAACACAGAGGATCTTAACATTACGATCTTAACACACAGGTAGAGCCCCAACCGGTAACTGTTACGTCGCGGGTTCGATTCCTGTTCGCGGAGGAAAGTTTTGCTCGAAAATGAGTGGTGTACCAATATCATGTTGTGAGCCTGAGCCAGGCTATGATCTGGCTTGTATCTATTATCTAATTATCTTTTACAATTCTATTTTCCTTGAGAGGGGTATATTATCGTCATTCTTATTCTGAAAAGAGTGTGTTGCTATCGATGAGATTGATGCAGCATCATCATTTTGTTCTGTTTTCTTAGCGAAGAGTCTCGAAGATAAATCCACCATCAGCTTCACAATATTTTCTCTCACAATCGTATACCCCATATAATCTGTTCCCGTCTGTACGTAATCAGGAGCGTTCATATATCTCATCAAGTGCATCAGAATTGGTATTCTATGCTTGTTGATCCTTACCACAAGTGCACGCAAGAGGTCATTAGCGGTATTCAATTTCTTAAATGCTTTGAAGACGGAGAACTCCAGCGTTTCATCTGCTTTGAACAAATTGCTATCTCGACGATATAATGTGTTCGCAACAATTTCGAAAACTACCAGTGCATTGCATAAGTCTGTTATTTCATTCAGATCGTGCTCATTGCGTTCGTATGGGAGTTTTAGAGCGGCAAGGATCTGCTCAGTCTCACCGTAGCATTTTACAAATTTTTTCAACATCGTGTTCAGAGAAGGATGGTGTACAACACATTCTACTTCATGTGAATGATTTGGAAATGATTAGTGCGTGATTCGAAATGAATTTATTGCCAAAATCGTACGAAATGACTTGCTTCATCAAATCCCGAGATCCCAGGATTTTTCAAAACTTAAATGTCGGGATCGGGATCAGAACTCAAATCCCGAGATCCTGTGCAAACCCTAGCGAACCGCTTTTGAAATTGGAAATTCTACGATGTATACTATGATAACATGAGAACGTCGAATAGATTTGGGTACAGCATGCCGAGTACAGCATCCAGTGAATCTCTAGATTCAGGAAAATATATATATTGTCGGGCGATTTCGCTTACCTGAGGAAAT